AGCACACACATAAAAGGGGGAGAGTGGCTCATGTAAACAAAATGCCTTTAAAAAATGATTATTTGATGCTTTTCAAAGTTAACACTGTCACCATTCCATTTCAAGAGACAACAAGCTTTCGAGAAGTGGATACACAAAGGCACTTTAATTACTGTAAAAGCCAAGTCTCAGTCCCAGCACATTTGAAGCATGAATGCATTTAAGTAATAAGTTTATAATCTGGTTTCTCATTAGGCAGTGTATGCCAGCTTCTGTAAACTTCATGCATATGTTTTACCAACATTCAAAAGACTTGTGTAGCACTGCAAATTAAAGTATACAGTACACACTTCCTATTGCTTTATGTGCTGAAGGTTTAATTGATCAATTCTACCAGATTTTAAACACAGGAGTCAGGGGAATAAAATATAAGAAAACTGAAGGATAATATGCACCAGTGAGAGCTAGTTTTAAATCAGGCCCCTTAAGAAAAGCAGGCTGAACATTAAATCGGAAAGCTGTGCATCTATGAGTCTAATCTTCTATCATCCTTGTGATGATAATAAATTAGACTATCTGGAAGAAAGAACACTGTTAGATCAAAATTCCCTACAGTAGCAAATTTTGTAAAATGGGATGACTCAATATTAGAACCAAAGTATCACACACTATGAAGCCACTATCCATTGACCATAGTCAAGAGGATTGTCCAAGCATATGAATACTATCTCTAAAATAAGCCTAGCAAAGCATGTGTTTGAGAGGCCCTTCTTCAGATGTAACACATTATCTTCCCATTCTGAGCAAGGGGTCAAACTGGTGTTCAATCCTGAAATAAGATAATGCTCCAAACATGTGTACCAATTTTCATATTCAGATAACTGTATCAAGGAAGATAGTGTATTACAAATGCAGTATCAAATAGTGAAGTCTTCACCTTTGCTCAGCTGATAAGCAGATATTATTTACTTTAATTGACATTTTGATCTCTTGAAAACTGATATTCAGAAGACATGACAGTTAGCAAATAAGCACCACCACTGCATGGGACAAGCTTACTTGTAAAGAATAACTATAGCTACTTTGTACATAGATGTTAGACCTATGATGTGGACTCCAATGTATTTCAGCACGCTGAGGTCAAAGAAGCTGCTCACTTTGAGAACTTCAGATATCTTTTCCATCAGTGTCAGTCATAAACTCTCCTTACTTCAGCACTCACCATTCAGCATTCTTCCACACTCAGAGATAAAAGTTTATCTTGGGAGTCAGGCACGTAGCAGCACTTCCAACAGTGTGACAGCTCACTGGACAGAAGGAGCCCATCAAACCTCTACCCTCCTTTCCTTTCAAAAACGAGGGCACCCAGCAAGCAATCCTGATCCTGTATATTTCTTTCCTCCTCCACCTGCCTGCTCCCATTGCCCGCATCCCACCTGCCACAGATCAGAGAAGGGACTAGCTGTGCCCTTCCCCCACATTGTCCACTTTTTACCTCAGTTGTCAGTGTTAGAGACATGACAATATGGCTGAGGAGGCAAGGGAGGGGAGAGACAGAAGAAGAGGAGCTGGCCAGGAGCAAGGATCCACCCCATGGGTCTGCCTCATGGGGTGGGGCCCTACAGACTGAGGGATGTCATTGAGGATGGCAGCCTTGGGCAATGGCTGAAGGATGGATGCCAAAGGGCACTGCCTATCTGCACCCTGTTCGGGGCCCATCTGGGCTACCCCGGGCAGAGGAGATGCTGAGGCAGGGCCATGCTGGCTGTGCTTTCTCATCCAGCTCTACTGGTTAGGGTATTAGGTTTTGTGTGTGGGAAGGGGAGTTACTATTTTACTTTATTATTACTTTATATTATTTATTATGATATTGTATTGAGCATTTCTGTTTTGATTTTTGCATTGTTTTTGTAGTTAATATTGTATTGAGCATTTGCTTTGATTATATTATTGCACTTGCATTGAATTGTATTATTTCTGTGTTGTTGTAAGCTGCCCAGAGAGCCCTATGGGCTATGGGGCAGCATGCAAATATTATCAATCAATCAATCAACTGAACTGTGACTAGCATTCCTGGCATTAAATGGCAGTGGCCCATGTATGAAAATTTTAATTCAGTGACCAAAGACATAGTTGGTGCATCTCCTTTTGCATTGGAAAGAAACAACAGGCTAGGTATCCAACAAGCTACCATGCTGTCAGAGCTGGTTCCTATCTGGGCGTGCGTGCGTGCGTGTGTGTGACACGGGGATTTAGAGTAGGTAGCCTGCTCAAGGTTGGCTGGTTCTACTCAGATTCTACTGGATTTTCAGGGTAGATGTTAGACAATGGTAGACAGAGCACTGAAGATGTGCCAACACAATCAAGAAAGGGTCTGAATGAGAGGAGCTAAAGTGGACTAGGGTCTGAATTATACTCTGTGAAAAAAAGAAGTTACTATCATATTATCTCAGAACTTCACTAAGGTCACGTAACACAAATAATGGCTCAGGCAGTTGTAATGCAGTGGAAATGAGAAGGTATGTGAACTTGCACGCAAATTTTAGTTCATTCCTTTGATGTTATTAGCCACTCAGAGCTTTGGTTAATTAACCCACGTATTCACTCAACTTCACAACTGATTTGGAAAACAACCTGGGAATGCCCTGTTCCTGAATCATTCAGTGTGAAACGCAAACCTGGAACTCCAGATTGTTGACAGGAAAAACAACCCAGAGTTTTAACATGGAGTGGGGGGGGGGCAGTTTAAATAAATAAAATTGGAGGCAGTAAGAGAAGCCTACACTTCACTGAAAAATATGGATGGAAAGAGGTGCATAAATGATTTTGATATGTTGACCAGCCGATTGGGTGAACTAAAATAGAGAGGGCTTGGTACTTCTATTATAGATTAATAGTATAATAATGACAGACTGCATAGATAAGGAAAGCTAGGTGGTCTTCAAAGAAAGGAAGATGTTATTCTTTTAAGTGAGCACTTTTATCTTTCAGGATCTATTGTACCATATTCTGTATGCTGAAACAGTTTCAAAGGACAATATAATTATAAAGTTAATGTATTCCCCAACCTTGCATGGTCTATGATAAAGTCTAATTACAATGCATCATTTCAGGTCTTTCTGAAATACATAATAGGACACCTCCAAGCACACTAATAATGCCTGTCACTATATTTTCTATTTTGCACTAGCATTTTATAGTAAGTAGTGAAACATTTGTCTAGTTAGTGGCAACTTGTTTATAGCAAGTTAGTTCTGTAACTCCTAGAGCTTCTTTTCATAACCCAATGTGGCAATTTCTTAATGATGTATACACCCTAGGGTTTTTGAAAGACACTCAGTAAATTTTCTTTAATGCAGAAACTGAAAGAATGTTGGTTCACTTATTTATTTCATTTTTATACTGCCTAATATCAAAGCTCTCTTTTAGTTGTGAATAATAGATCATCCATAATTGAACTTATAATTAATACTGACTATGACTAATGTATAGCTGATGGCTCATTCATCCATTATTTGCCATTCTTTCCACTAGATTAATGTTGACACAATGATGTGCTTTTAATTTTATCACATATATGATACCAATTCTGCAGAAAATAACTATAATATTGCATTTATATCCCACAGTTTTCCTCCTGCAAGGAACCCAGGCTGGCTTACAGTGCTCCATTTTTTATTCTCATAACAACCACCCAGTGAGGTAGATTAAGCTGAAAGTGAGTGACTGGCCCATGAGTGGGCTTTATGGTTGAGTGGGGACTAGAATCTGAACCCCCAGAGTCCACAGTTCAACACATTCCACTCAACTCTGTTATGCAAGTTATTGTAATACAAATAGTTTAACAGATATTTGACTAAGTGGCAGTTATGTCTCACGGTCAGGTTCATCCTATAAAAGTTCAAGTTAGTCTTTACTAGCCTAATTCCCTATGTTTTCATTAGGTCTATTCTAAGCATGACTTTGTCTGGATCCAATGTAGTAACTATCTTGCCTAATATGCATTTTTAGCCTTTATATGCCTCCTATATATGTTGTATGCCCTGTCCTTTGGATACAAGTCATTATAATAATGTTCATCCCAAAATTACTAATTAAGCAGTTGTCCAAACAACAGAAAGAAAGTGCATACCCTTCTCTGATGTTCAGAACAGTCATCTTGTCAAACTAAATTCACACAGCTTCAGTCAACTAGGAACAAAGTTAAATCTTTTCCGGACTATTTAAGCATTATTATTATTGTCTACCCTGCCAAATGTGCATTAAGGGTTCTAACACAGGTATTCAGCAGTTGTACAATCTGTCCAGGTTGCAGGGAAAGTTGGAAACAGATCAAACATTAAATGGAACCTGCACAAAATGTTGCATTGCAGAGCACTCTTGGTCAGGATTCCTAGGTAGCCATGCCCTTTCCCAGTGTTCTCCAATTCTTCCTCCTCCCTTGGTTTTTGTACATTCCTTACTGCCCCTCCTTAGCTACAAACATTCAACATGTGGTGCTCACTGAACACGTCTAATTTTCACCAAGCTGCAATGTGATTGCACAAGTCTCCTTTTAAAAGCTTTTTGAAATTCTTTTTGCAAACTTTGGAGCCTGCTGATGTCACTCTTATGCATGGATAGTACCATTTGCCTACATAAAGATCCACACAGATAATGAGTTCAGTATTACCATGCAAGAGAAACTCAAGACATGGCCCTTCAGATGTTTTGACCAGAACTCCTTCCTCACCATTGGCATTTCTAGCTACAGTTAATGGGGTCTCTAGGGTCAAAGCATTTGGAGAATCCCAAGGCACCCACTCCTATTGCAGGTACACAGAAAAGACTTCAAAAGTCTGAACTATCATCCTGTTGATTGCTGGCACAATGTCAGCTCTCAGCAGGAAAAGAAGAGACACTGATACTGATTCAGAGAACCCAGGAACCTAAATGATGAGACAATATGGGGAACTCTGGTTGATTATCCAGCACAATATGTAAAAGGACAAATGATTTTTTCACTACTAGTATGGTTTTACCTTTTGATATTTAGCAATGCCCAAGGAATTCCTGTGGGAGTGTTAAAGGCTGGAAGCAACTTCTCTCCAAGTTCCACTGCTTTTTTACGAAATATCTGTAAAATTAACATAAGCAAAACTCATGAGTTACAGAAAACAAGGAAAAGGAAGTTTCTAATTCAACCAGGAGCTATGAATGGATATGTTCAGAGGTTATATCAGTAAACTGCCAACCATGGTACATTGCATTGGGATGCAATTGCAGGTTCACACGCTCTTTCCTTCTCTTCCATGCACCATTTATTTCTCTGATCAACCACAGCTAGTGTACTTTCAGTTGACAGGGCAAACTTTGGCTTTACGGCTAGAAATACTAGGAAAAAGCATTTCCGCCAAAGGAAGCAAAGGAACAGAATACTATCTGCACACTTCTCACATCAAGACAATTAGGGCATAATCCAACCCTTGATGCTCCTAAGCACATAGGCTTACATACATCTGACACAGGGCATGAGGTGTGGCAACAGTGATTTGCACTACCCAGTGCCTTGAATTTCATCCAGATGACTTTTTGGGCTATCTAGATGAAATGCTGTGGGGGAGGGGGGAGGTTGGGGTGTCATTTGGATATGCCATAAGATGTTGTCCCCAGCTTTCCTCCCCCCCTGCCATGGCATGCCCCTTTAGCTCTCCCTGAGGCTGGTTTCTGACCTTGGAGAGAGAGCTGGAGCAGTTCTTTCTGTGCTGGCTGCAAGGACCTCAGAGTCTGAACACTCCTATAGCCCCCCAAGACAATGTTGGGAAGCTACGGGTTTGTGCCCTTAGGGGTTTATTATTTTCTTTTCTTTTAATGCAAGCTGCACATTCTGGCAAAGGACTTGGAAAAAGAAATACTGTCTTTATCCAGCAGCTTAATATAGTCCAATTCATGACACAGTAAAAACATGAACAATAGATGCAGGTTCAGTGTAATGATACTTGTATTTTCTTCAGTTTTGAATGAACTGGTAAGACAAGTCATTAATGTTGAAGTAAAATGTTCTGAACTGCTGTACCTTTTAAGCAACAATCTAGTTTAGTATATAAGTGTTAAAAGTTAATTGAAATGTCACTTTCCTATTCTTCTTTCTGGCAGGTGGTTAAAGTAATTTATTCTATCAGGGAGAGACAACTAGAAGATATAGTTTTAGAGCCAAACTATATTTAAGTCAAATCAGATTATGTAGCTATTTCAGAGATTCTAATAAAATACGGCTACAATGTAGATGACCACATGATAATATAGCATAATGAGCACTCAGTGTGGACAGTGCATGTGTGGGCAGGGGGAGTGTTCAGAGCAGGAGAGCTTAGGAAGCTGTCGTTTGAAGAACCCTGACAGGAGGTGCTGGTATAACCCACAGGAAGGAGGAAATCTACAGTATGCCATTAGTATTCAATAGATTACAAATCAGCATTTTCTGTTGATTTAGCTTTACATAAGCTTTATACTTCATTTAAGTACCACTCTGCATCATTTCTCAAATAAAAGCAGAACAAATGTCTAATTTATCTTTTTCATGTATTCTGCATTTTAAAAAAGTAGAGAGGAAGAATGAAAGAGGCAGTATTCCCAGTTCCAGGTTTCTATAATTATTTGCATACTTGTAAGGGGGAATGGAATGCTACTGAATACATATTCAGAATATGGCTGTCAGACTACTGCACAGAGTGACTGGAAAAGCTATTTATTATCTCTTGTTTCAACTGTGGAACTGCTGAATATGTACTTGCCAACATACACATATTGCTATAGTATTTGAGACACAGATGAACATCATCATTCCATACTATTTGCTCTTTGCATTCCTCATACCTTCCAGCCACTGAAAAGGTCCTTCAGATTAAATAATGTATGCATTCATTTAGCAATTGTCCTGCTTGTGCCTCTGTGGCATACCTGAACCAGGCCTGGGACTCTGATGTTTAAAATGAAGGCCTTGCTTGGCATAAGTGAACTTTAGTTGCCTTGTTTATGCTCATAAAACAATAGAGCTTTAGTTATTTTTATCCTGGCCACCTCTGCCAGTCTTCCCACCAGGGGAGATTCCCAAAAGAGGTGGATCAAAAGAGTGTGTGTGTGCGCACATGCATGCGCGCACACACACACACAGCTGCTGCGTTCTGTCCCTTGGCCATACTCCTTATCAGCCTAGTACAATGGGGCCTTCATGCCAGAGGTAGTCATGAGCCTCTGCTTACACAAATGTGCTATCACTGTGGTAACATCAAGTAGTGAAGAGTTCTTGGCAGGCCAGGCAGAGATACTCATTGTTATCGGTTCATTATGCATTATTATTATCAGCCCCTACATAAGTAATCAGTATTCTCCTGTATGCAGAATGCTGTATGCATGCACTATGCTTTGAATCATGTAATCTATATATGGTTGCCATTCTCTTTGTGCTCTCATTTGGACTTTTCAAGGTAACTCCTGCTGTCCATCCATTCCAGTTGGTTGGGGGGTGGGGTCCCTTGAATGCTATCTGCAATGTGCACTTTAAGTGTTTAGCTGCTAAAACCTTTGAAACCTAGGTAGTGTTTGGTGTGTTGCAGAAAAATAAATTGTTTTGATAGTAGTCACCAGGACTTAAAGCTGTTTTGATCACTGCAGAATGTAAACCTGTTTTGATGATGAACCTAAATTGTATCATTGTCTAGTTAACAGGACTGCTATGTGGTGTCACTGCACTACACCCAGCGTTTAGTTGGCAAACCTGGAGGAGGTATATTACTTTCTGGGAATCAAAAGAACTGCTTCACCCATAGCCAGGGCTCCCACATACACCCAGACAAGTTCCTTTGGGCAAGTTTCCACATCATATTCCAATGTCTTACAAAGCTAAACTTATGTCCCCACAGATCACTATTCTACCACCATTTTGTGTCTTCCCTCATGGGCACATTCATTCCAAAAATGGCACTTTATCTACAGAGGTCAGCTAGTCTAGAAAGAACAAATGAAGACAAATAGAATTTAAAAATATTATTCTAGATCCTCAGTGGAAGGCAAATTGTGGTTCTCCAGATGTTTTAGCCTACAATTTCCACCATCTATAGCTAGAATTGAACATAGCCAGGAATGATGAAAGTTTTAGTTTAAAATGTCTGGAGGCTACTAGGTAGATGGTAAGGTTGTACCATACAAAATAGCTAAGTGAAGTGGAACTTGCCAAAATTACTAAATGTTCAGTCTTCTTCAGATTCCTAATCTAATCAAAGTAACATGGTTTCAGCTAAAGATTGTCTATGGAAATCCAGGTATCAAGTCTTTTACAACCACAAGGAACTCTTTTGGTCAGATTCTAGCACTGTTGTTAAATTAGTTTTGATGTAATCTTACCTCTTCTCCAGAAAGACAGTATGCTGAAAGCAGCCCACCAACAAAACGGATATTCACTTCGAAAACAGAGACTTCAGCATTCTAGGAATTCAAATATTTTAGATTTCAAGTTAATTATCAACACAGGAAGGTTAATGAAATACCACCACTGTACTTCTGATATATCTTTCATACGCCTAAACTAAATACTATGTCTTATTACTACAACTGTTGTTAAAGTATTGGATTGTATCAAAGAAAATGGATTGTAAACCCTTTCTTTCTTCTAGGATACTAAGCCATCCTAGGCTTTATACAGTAATTTTTGCTAAGTTGCCCATCAATTTCAAGCAAGATACAAAATGAAAATGTTCATATTCAAAAACATAATTATAAGAAAATAGTAGCAATATCAACTAATAAGATTTAACTCATGCATAAACACACACCCCGCTCTGGCTTTTCACCTATCAAAAACCTTTTTTTTTTTTTTTAAAGAAAGTAGCAATAAATTTAAGAAAAATGTCTCTTTGGGGATCTAAATGAAGAGAATCTCTCACAAATAAACTGCAACTTGCAGCACCATGAGTAATGTGCTTTAAAAATCCAATGGAAGGGGTATTGTTAGAAACTTTGTATGTGATGATGGTATATTCTAACTAATCGGGTTTTTTAAAAAATGTTTCTACTATGACTTCTAGAAGAGACTCTCAACTGGATTCATCATTCCTATTTCTCTAATGTGCAACTAGCTACATGGTTTGAGGTATGTAGAGAGCTTTGGCTATTGGGTAGTACAGAAATGTAATAAATTTATGATTTGTTATACTGTTCACTTAAAAAAAGAATTCCTAAGTGGACAACATTTTGAAAGAAAAGCAGCAGGAACTCAAAGCCAGATTGTGTTCCTGATCTGGACTGGAGCACTGAACCCATGTCTTACCTACTCTGCCCCCTCTCCCATAGTAAACAGTACCTTTCATGAAGCAGCAGCCACGTGGAGGATTTTTACAGGGAATTGGCAGCTGCATCCTGTGCTTCTGACTAGCATTCTACATAAATATTTTTTTCTTCAAAAGACAACAAGAAGAAGAAAACTGTTTTTTCTTGGTAAATAATGCTTACCATGTTGGTTGGCCTTACATTATTGGCCACTGAAACAAAGTTTAGTTAGGCAAATACTTTACATACAGTCAAAGCTGTAAAAAGGCATACTTTTATCATACAATAAATGAGCACTGAATTATTCAGCTATCAAGCCATCTGAGTATTCTATCATTCCCTCCAATGGATTTGCCGAGGCTAACCATTGTATAAACCATAGCTCTTGCAGCGTACATTATACAATCCACTGAAGCATATTAAACAAATGAAGCAAGAGATTGTTGTATTCAGTGTAGACCTGAAAGCTCTATCTTTAATAGGATAGTTATCCTTAAGCTCATTTTGGCAAACTAGCATCACCTTGGGAAAGCATGTGGATGAGAGAGATTTGAAGAGAAGCTGAAGAGGCTTTGCCTTACTTCTAAGAAGCCAGTTTTCATCAGTAAAGGTTGGTGGGGGAGCGAATGAGGAATCTACTGAATACTGAATCAGGTTTCATTACAAGCAGCGAACAGTTGCTTTTTTTTGAAAGCCAGACACTTAAATTAAATTATTCAACCTAGTCCGCATACAATGTAAAAAGTTTCTGCCAATATAGTTGTGCCTATCAATGTGCCTTATCAAGACAAAAGCTTACAATGCACAATCATAGGATCATGGAGTTTATTTTATTTTTTATTTATTTTATTAAAACATTTTATGCTCCCCATTCGCCGAAGCTTACAACAATAAATTAAAACATCACAAATTTTAAATCTAATAGTGGCATGAAGATCACCACTTATTTTTACTCCTAACTACTTACTCCTGTTTCAAATGTAGCATTAAAAAAGGAAAGGTTGGAGGAGCAACAGATCATGAACACCAACCTTCACTGAAGCCTGCAAATATGTATTCACGGATTGGTAAAACTAATGAGTAAGCACTTTTAGCTGCTGGGATCTAGGTTCTTAAATTCAGCAAACCCAGCACTAATTGTTCCCACTGCTGGCACCTCTCACCTGTCAAGCTTGTGTCCATCCACTTGTGTATGGGCATGGGCCCTAGTAATAAACATAACCTTTTGGTCCCACAATGATTTTAGGATCTCTCCTGAAAAGCCTTCTTTTTCTTTCGCTCAAGTATCCCTGGATTTTGGCTGTTCATTTGACACTTTTTGTCAGTATTCATATGGTCTGCTTATTTTGGGATTTCCTAGGTTTGCTTAAGACAGGGTAGTTTGCTTAAGAGCAACCTTTGGCTTCTTTTTGACCTGGAAACAAGTTTGGAATCAATCTTCAATTGAGATTGTTTTTATTTAAGCCCTGGAAGGATGGGGAGAAACATCCAGGAAACTGAATTAGTTTTTTCCTGTATTTAGAGCATTTAGAGACTATCACTACATATATAAAGTTTAGAACATTTGCCTCATTTTGCACTTATATTTAATTACATCTTCTGTGATACTGCTTTAGGTGCTCTTCATATCCTATACTGAATTTCCCTATCCTGAACAGGCAGTTCTGCAAGCATTGCTACTTCATTGATATCTCTGTCTTCTGCTAGTTCTAGTATAGATCCTTTTCCTCCTTCACTTTCTACTTTTAGCTGTCTTCTGATTCTTAATTATACCTAGTTATTCTCTGTTTACAGTGTAGACAACCTACTCAATATATATTAATTTGATTACATTCTGCATGATGTCCTGATTTGTGTTTTACTTTCATCAATCCAGAAGGATCTCTTTTAAAAGTAGTTACTTCTGCAGTCCTACTATAACATTACCACTTAAGAAAAAACTAGAATTGATCTGCAATCCTATGTATATTTATTTGGTAAATAAATCATATTAATTTCAGTGGAATCAGCTTCTGAGTAGACATGTATAAGATTCCAATGACTATTTCTGGATAACAATCAGATGATTATATGTTCTAATTCTAGAACAAGCAATATCTTGACAAAGTAATTTCTTTCCACAAAACTTTGTGGAGGAAACAGATAAATGAAGAGAGGTGACAGCGGTTGTAATTCTGCGTCAAAGGGATTTCCTGCAATTTTAATTGTTATGTGCTGAAAAAGCCTGAAGTAGAAAACCTCCTTTATGACTTTTACAAAAATAGACTGAAACTTTAACAATAACAAAGTGATTATTAGTTGTTGACTTGGTCTAATAACAAAGTATTGTTCACATCCTAGTTTTATTTTCACAGCTTTTCTCCACAAGAATCCCATCAAAATAACGTAACACTGAAGCTGAAATATGACATTTCTGTATTTCAGCTCTTGGGAGAGAGATAATTTTTAAGGTCTCTATTTCTATATAATTGAGAGTAAAAACAGATTCTCCCAGCAGTTTTAAAAAACTGTCCAAAATAATATGCAGCTCCTCACAATCAACTATATTGTTCCAATACCTGGAAAAGTATTTATTATTCTAAACAGGTCCTCAGATAAAAATGTTATGAGAGAAGTCCTCTGTATTATCTAGTTAAGTATTTAAAATGTAATGATCCATCTCATATGGACAGGGGGAAAAGGACAGATATGAAGGAAGGAGTAGTTACATGCTTAGAATGCTTGTTTGTTCTTCCCAAGAAGAGAGACAGTTCAAACTATCTGAACCTTCTTTAGATCACAGAAGTAATATTGTCCCTATTCAAACAGCAGAGTAAAGGCTAATGCTTACCACATTGAAATCTAGATTTTTCTCCACCCATTCTTTGGCTTCTTTGAATTCATCTTTCATTTCCATGATATACAAAGTATCCAAGGCATCGACAATTGTTGCTCCTTGAATATTACCTGAAAAGAACCAGTAAATAGTATTTATGCAGATGCAAGTTATTAGGAATGTTACGAGAACCTGTGTTTCATTCTCTTAACTTGCTTAAGGCTGCAAGCCTAACTAAACTTAAAAGGGGGAAATTCCCAGTGATTTCCAAGTAAATCTCTGTTGGAATGATCTATATCTTCAACTGTAAATCATTAAGTTAAACAGAAATGCTATTTGTTTTGCCATATACAGGTTTTTGCAGATTGGTAGCATGGAGTGTTTCCTTGATCCATCTTTATTAGTTGAGGCTCAGGTGGCCCTAGCATTTCAGAATGACTTCTACCAGCTTTGGCTGGTGGCCCAGCTACGTGCTACATGGACTGGGACAGCCCAGATTCAGTAATCTACACTATGCTCATCTCTAAACTGGATTACTGCAATGTACTCTGTATGGGACTGCCCTGTTCAGAAGCTGCAGCTGGTACAGCATGTGGCAGCCAGATTAATAACCTGTATATTTGAACATGTAAGACAGGTTCTGGCATTGGCTGCCTGTATGCTTCCAGGCCCAATTCAAGATACAGGTTTTAACTTATAAAGCCTTACACAGCTTGGGATCATGTTACCTGTCACAGCACTTCTGCCAATTCAGACACTATCTCAACCTCTGGAACCTTCCTCTGAGTGCCAACCCCAAAGGATGCTCAGAGGGTGGTGATAAGGGTGAGGGCTTTCTCTGAGGTGGCCTCCCATCTTTGGAACAACCTCCCCACTGCAGGTCACCTGCCACACCAAACTTGTTATATTTTCAGTGCCAGATCAAGACATCCCTTTATGCTGAGGCTTTTAAAGATCTGCTTGGCCAGGTGATTCTTTTCCTTTGCAGGGTCATTTTTACTGTATTTTAAAAGCTATTTTAAATTAACGTTAATGTTTTGTTTTTATAATATGTGTATTGTATTTTATTGCTTTATGCACTGTTGTAAACCACCCAGAGGGCTTCAGCTGTGGGGTACTACAGAAATGAAATGAAATAAAATATGATGAGGATGATGATATTAAACAGCTCTCAGTCAAGTTCTGGGAACTAAGAAAATGCATTTTCAAGTGGTACAATTCACAAAAACTTAAGTTTGTTAAACTTATACTATCTGTCTCAGTGGCTTTCAACCACTGGTTTGGGAACCAGTGCCAGTCCATGAAAGATTTTATGCCGGTCCATGGGGGGCGGGGGGCTGCATCCTGCTCACAGCAGACCAGCACAGGGGCTTGCTGTGCTCCACCACCTTTTCCTCAGCTGGCATCATGTTCGTGGGAGGGTGTGTGTGCCAGTGCTGCGGGGAGGGGAGGGGGGAGGGGAGGGGAGGGGAGCTATGGCTTGGTGCGAGCTGCCTGGGAGCCACACCACACTGGTTTTGGTATTCTGTTCTTTTGTTGCCTTTTTTGTTGCTCGGTTTCTGGTTGTTTTGGAGAATTTTCATTTCTTGGTATTGCATTTGGAAATTAATACATAGAATATTGTATTATGTATATGGTGCTTTTGTTTCTGTCTCAGCAGTTCCTGAGGTGGTTTTCCTGTTTTCACTGGTCCCCAGCTGTGGAAAGGTTGAAAACCACTGATCTATCTTGTTAAGACAAATACTATATGTTTCTATTTCTCTTATTCATGACTTATATCATATCCTTCTTTGAAACAAACTAAGAAAAGCCATCTGAAAGAAAACATGCTACTTGACATAGCATCATTTAGAGTACAAAATAGGGTAATCCAATTTAAAATGAACAAATAGGATATTATTTGATTTACCAATAAATCTTGGAACTAGTAAAGCTGCCAGAAGCAAGTGTTATTGGATTTAAAATAGTTGATCATATTAAATCAGCACAAGCAATAAATACAAACTTCAGTTTATGGCTCCAACAGGACAATTCAGCTACCAAAGTAGCCTATTTCTTAATCATTTTTAAAAGCAGGGCATACAGAGGCTTCTGCTAAGAGCCTCAGGTCATATGAGCATTAAGTATGTCATGCTGAGTAGAAATTGGGAACTGTACTGACTCATTCCTGACCTTCCATGATGGCTACCACAACTGTCTGTGAATTCTCCTGAGTTCTAGGGAAAAAAACCTGTATTTGCCTGGCTGCACAAGAATAACACACTAAGGTTCTTTGTCTGAAAGTAGAGGGAGAAGACACTTAGTCAGCGATTAGGGTGCTACATCATATAGTACCACACCATAGAATCTGGCAGGAATAGAACAAGTTGGTAGACATCTGTGAGAAGGGGGAGTAGACATAAGCATTTCTCTTAAGAAGGGTTGTCTGGGTGACTTGTTATTTGCAACAGACTAGTAGCAAACTGCAAGGCTGTCAAAGTAAATGCAGGTTGATTTCACAGCCTTCCAAGTAAGTAGAAACAAGCAGCCTGCTTCAGTGACCTCCAGTTCACACATTAGTCACTTCGTCAGTGGCTGTCACTAGCATAGCTCATCGAAAGGTTGTGAGAGGAGAAAAAGAAAAAAAAAAGTTATGACAGTGAGTGAAAAAGAGGTCACAAAGAGTAGAGAAACCAAGTCAGAGAACATCGCCCTCAAGTGCCACTTGGACATTCCTGGAACAGATGTCACTTGAGGTGGTCTGGGCAAGCTTGGCAAAAACAACAAGGAATTTTTGTCTTTCTTGCTGAATGGTTCACTCAGTGCTATCTTGGACCTATGAAAGCATCAGTTGCTGAAGTTCAGATGACTTAACAATAACCTACCATGGCTGAATTTACTCACAGACCCTGTTAAATAATCCCAGAAACCATTTTTTTGTTGATGGGTGCCTGACCTGCCATGGCTTGCCATGCACAGCCAGGTGATGGTGGTTGCTTGAGCAGAAGACAATCTTCAAATAAGCCATGGCACTTTTGGGGGGGGGGGTAACTGAAGATTGTCTAACCATCAAGCAAAAAAGACCAAGCAAGAAATTTATCCTAATAATAACCAATAAAACAATTGGGTTAAGCAAACTGGTAAAGATGAACATCATCCAAACAGCCTAAGAATGTAAATGTATCTATTTTTGACAAACATAGGCTGCCCTAAGCTTGTAGGTTTCTAGAAGGGAAATTTCCTGAGTGATCTTGCTACCATTTTGGTTAGCCTCATGGTATATGACCATTATAGTTCCTTGCCTTTCCCAATCTTATATTCACATTTAAGCATATGCTTTCACATGTGCATTTCTTATTTTTGGCATGGCAAGGTCTATGAAACTTTCCTGAATTAGAGGAGACACTGCAGTGTTTTATGATGAAGAAATTAGAGCAACTCCTGTATGAGGAACAGTTACAACAACTAGGATTGATTAGCTTAGGAAAAAGGCAAGTAAGGGAAGACTTAACTTGGAGCAATGAGGAAAGGGTTTGCTTTTGGAGGTATTGTGAGTTTCATCTAGTTCTGATACTTAAAATTAATTCCTAGAATAAGCATTCTGTAATTTATTCTGCACCAGACTAGCAGGTATATCTTGGTGCATTAGTAAAAGGAAATAAAAAAGAAACCATTTGATTCCCAAAGCCTGAAGTCTGCCCACCAGACCACATTGGCTTGCTATATGCCTTGCAAGTCTCCTTCATGGATCACTGCCTTGTCGTGGCGAAGGGGCTTGTGTAGCTCAATGAAGCTATGAGCTATGCCGTGCAGGGTCACCCAAGACGGACAGGTCATAGCACAGAGCTCTGACAAAACGTGATCCACTGGAGAAGGAAATGGCAACGCACTCCAGTATCTTTGCCATGAAAACCCCATGGACAGTACCAAAAGGCAAAAAGATATGACACCGGAAGATGAGCCCCTCAGGTCGGAAGGTGTCCAATATGTTTCTGGGGAAGAGCGGAGGGCTAATACTAGTAGTGCCAGAAAGAATGAAGCAACTGGGTCAAAGCCGAAAGGACACTCAGTTGCAGATGTATCTGGTGGTGAAAGGAGAGTCTGATGCTGCAAAGATCTATACTCCATAGGAACCTGGAATGTAAGATCCATGAATCAAGGCAAGCTGGATGTAGTCAAACAAGAGATGACAAGACTGAACATCAACATCTTAGGAATCAGTGAGCTAAAATGGACAGGAATGGGTGAATTTAATTCAGATGACCATCAGGTATACTACTGCGGGCAAGAATCCCTCAGAAGAAATGGAGTAGCCTTCATAGTCAATAAAAGAGTAGGAAAAGCAGTACTGGAATACAATCTCCAAAATGACAGAATGATGTCAGTTCGAATCCAAGGGAAACCATTCAACATCACAGTAGTCCAAGTCTATGCCCCAACCACTGGTGCTGAAGAGGCTGAAGTTGACTGGTTCTATGAAGGCCTACAACACTTTCTAGAACTAACACCAAAAATGATGTCCTTATCATCATGGGGGATTGGAATGCTACAGTAGGAAGCCAAAAGATAACTGGAATAACAGGCAGGTTTGGCCTTGGAGTACAAAATGAAGCAGGGCACAGGCTGGTAGAATTTTGTCAAGAGAATACAATGGTCATAGCAAACACGCTTTTCCAACAACCCAAGAGACGACTCTACACATGGACATCACCAGATGGTCAACACAGAAATCAGTTTGACTATGTGCTCTGCAGCCAAAGATGGAGAAGTTCAATACAGTCAGTAAAAACTAGACTAGGAGCTGACTGTGGCTCAGATCATGAGCTTCTTGTTGCAAAATTTAGGCTTAAATTGAAGAAAGTAGGGAAAAGCACTAGGCCACTCAGGTATGACCTAAATCATATCCCTGATGAATATACAGTGGAGGTGACAAATAGATTTAAGGAATTAGATCTGATAGACAGAGTGCCTGAGGAACTATGGATGGAGGTTCGCAACATTGTACAAGAGGTAGCAACTAAGACCATCCCAAAGAAAAAGAAATGCAAGAGAGCAAAATGGCTGTCTGAGGAAGCTTTACAAGTAGCTGAGGAAAGAAGGGAAGCGAAAGGCAAGGGAGACAGAGAAAGATACACCCAACTGAATGCAGAATTCCAGAGAATAGCTAGAAAAGATAAGAATGCCTTCTTAAATGAACAGTGCAAAGAAATAGAAGAAAACCATAGAATAGGGAGGACCAGAGATCTCTTCAAGAAAATTGGAGATATGAAGGGAATGTTTTATGCAAAGATGGGCATGATAAAGGACCAAAATGGCAGGGACCTAACAGAGGCAGAAGAGATCAAGAAGAGGTGGCAAGATTACACAGAAGAACTATACAAGAAAGAGCTTAATGTTCCTGATAACCACGATGGGGTGGTCACTGACCTCGAGCCAGACATCCTGGAATGTGAAGTCAAATGGGCCTTAGGAAGTCTGAGCAACAACAAAGCTAGTGGAGGTGACAGTATTCCAGCTGAGCTATTCAAAATCTTAAAAGATGATGTAGTAAAACTGCTACACTCAATATGCCAGCAAACTTGGAAAACTCAATAGTGGCCACAGGATTGGAAAAGGTCAGTTTACATTCTGATCCCAAAGAAGGGCAATGCCAAAGAATGTTCAAACTACCGCACCATTGCACTCATTTCACATGCTAGCAAAGTTATGCTCAAAATCCTACAAGCTAGGCTCCAGCAGTATGTGGACCGAGAACTACCAGAAGTACAGGCAGGACTTCGAAAAGGGAGAGGAACTAGAGATCAAATTGCCAACATATGCTGGATCATGGAGAAAGCTAGGGAGTTCCAGAAAAACATCTACTTCTGCTTCATTGAGTATGCTAAAGCCTTTGATTGTGTGGCTCACAATAAATTGTGGCAAGTTTAAGGAGATGGAAGTACCAGACCATCTTATTTGTCTCTTGAGAAACCTATATGCGGGTCAAGAAGCAACAATGAGAACTGGACACAGAACCACTGATTGGTTCAAAATTGAGAAAGGAGTTCGGCAAGGCTGTATACTGTCGCCCTGCCAATTTAACTTATATGCGGAGCACATCATGGGAAAGGCAGGGCTAGATGAATCACCTGTTGGAATTAAGATTGCTGGGAGAAATATCAACAACCTCATATATGCAGATGATACCACTCTAATGGCAGAAAGTGAAGAGGAACTAAAGAGCCTCTTGATGCGGGTGAAGGAGGAGAGTGCAAAAGTTGGCTTGAAACTCAACATTAAGAAAATGAAGATCATGGTATCCGGTCCTCTCACTTCCTGGCAAATAGATGGGGAAGAAATGGAGGTAGTGACAGATTTTATTTTCCTGGGCTTCAAGATCACCGCAGACAGGGACTGCAGCCAAGAAATTAAAAGATGCTTGCTCCTGGGGAGGAAAGCTATGACAAATCTAGACAGCATACTAAAAAGCAGAGACATCACCCTGCCAACAAAAGTGCATCGAGTCAAGGCTATGGTTTTCCCAGTTGCAGTGTATGGCTGTGAAAGTTGGACCATAAGGAAGGCTGAGCAACCTAGAATTGAGGCCTTTGAATTGTGGTGCTGGTGGAGACTCCTGCGAGTCCCTTGGACCACAAAGCAATCAAACCAGACAGTCCAAGAGGAGATCAACCCCGAGTGCTCTTTAGAAGGCCAGATAGTGAAGATGAAACTCAAATTCTTTGGCCATCTAATGAGAAGGAAGGACTCCCTGGAAAAGAGCCTAATGCTGGGAACAATAGATGGCAAAAGAAAAAGGGGACGGCAGAGAACGAGGTGGCTAGATGGAGTCACTGAAGCAGATGGTGTGAGCTTAAGTGGACTCCAGGGGATGGTGGAGGACAGGAAGGCCTGGAGGAATGTTGTCCATGGGGTTGTGATGGGTCGGACATGATTCGTGACTAACAACAACAACTTTTTAGCCACTCCTTGCAAGTGGCTAAAAAGATATCCAACTTGGAGAAAAGGGGGGTTCCAAGAATGAGTGACAAAAAGAGACCAAGTTTATTGTTATTTCTGAGCAGCCAAAGAAACAGATGAGATGGCATAAAAGCTAGGATTTTACTTCCATCAGGACAAAAGAGAAAAGAGGAAAAAAACCCACAATACAAAACTACTTCATTATTGTTCATGAAGCTCCGCTCTTAAATAAGACTCTCTCATATAGTCAAGATGTTCCCCTGAGAAACTACAGAGAAACGTTACAATGTGGTAAGAAAGAAGAACATAATTAAATGATTCCAATTGTCAAAACTAGAGGGCATTCAGGACACTGTCCTATGTGGAATCAGCATACATATTTTAGAAGGTGTTAACATTTGCCCCAGTCTAACAGATTTCCATGCTCAAAGTATGTTATTTTTATAGTTTTAAGTTATCAAGTTTTAGCTGATAAAGTTTATGGGACAAAACTCCCCAAAGAATGCTGCTCTGCAAGAGCATTCCTTTAGCATTCTATGTATATAGGCCCCACATATAGGAGCGTATGACAGGGTATGCTTTCATTATTTGTAATGATTTACCATTTAAAGTAAGCACATGTCACAACAGCTGTTTAACAGCAAATATGCTTCTAATGTAATCTCTAACCTTCAGAGCAGCAAAGCAGCTGATGTCACTAAGCACAAAAGCACATATTACTTACCAAATAAATTGCTTGAGTGTCCTTGTTTCGATATGGGTTTCAGTTCATTTAATCCCCATGCGTAATGTTTATAATTATCCCAGGCATGTTTCATCATCTGGTGAGAAATGAAAGCAGGATTATATTGTTGTTTTAGCAAGAAACCACTATGTTAAATACTAAGAGAAAATATACTGTACATCAAGGATCAATGTGTTTAATTCAATGGTTAATTAAACCCATATCATATTGTAGACTTTAACATTAAACATTATTAATAGTAACATCATGTTGTTTTTGAGGTATTTTAGTTATAGCAAGGAGTTTTTATTCAATTCTATTCCCTGTAGTTCATTAAGAATTTGTAATACTTGCCCATTAATTCTCATTAAGAAGTTTAACTAAAAGACTATTAATCCAATTACGAATTTCTCTCTAAGATGATAAAACTTCTGAAGCTAAGATATTCAGTCAACTTTAGATATTAGTCACCTAAAATGTATGTTGCAAATTTATATAATGTAAAATTCAATGACTGGTAGAAATGTTAATTTGGTTATGTGAAAGGAAGGTTGATAAGAAAACTGAGACATTTGTGACAGAGTATACTTCTTAAAATGTATGACAGCTATGACTGCCATCACATTGACCCATTCAAATCAGAATGCTGCTATATGGTTTCAAAAAGTCAGGTCTGGTAAACTGATAACAGAGGTAGGAAAGACTGTTTGACTACAGAATTGATAGCCATGCCTTTCCTTTCTTTATTACTTTGCAGAGTTAGTTTCCTCACTGTAGTTCATTAAGAAGTGGCTACTGTAGGGTTATTAGGCTATTGCAACCCTTCTATATGGACTAGTATACTTGCTGTAATAGACTTACATTAAAAAGATTGAAGTAGCTGGAGAATGCACAAATCAGTGTTTGCTGAATAAACAAGAGAATGGAACCACAGGGTATTTGATGGATATACAGCCAAGGAAACGCAAATGCTAGTGGCAATGGTGGGCTGCAGAGGTAGAGATTGATATATTTAGGAAAAAGAAATAGAACGGGGTTAGCTATAATTACCTGTATTCAGAGGAAGGGGAACTCTGAAAGACCTTGTTTCCCAACTAAATTCTATAGCTCATGTACCTCTGTGGTAGTTCAGTCTTAACAGAATCCCTGGCAAATTTCAGGATGTCTCTTCCAGAGAGAAAATGGATTCTTATGCCAAGGTGTCAGGGTAGTACCAATAAATCTTTAGCACACAATGTAAGTGTCAGAAAGCCAGCACATCTGAAGATTCTCTATGATACCTCTCTCCAGGAGCAGAATTATTTTCTTTGAGAAAAGGGACTGATAGGGAAGGAAGCAGCAGAGGTGGGGTGCAAGTCCTAATTTAAGATAGGGTTGTACTAGCAATGAATTGGAGACCATCTAAAAATGTGGGCATTCCTCACTTTATAAATAGTGTCCGTATTTCAAAACTGTATCCCAGCTCTAAATTTTTGGCTATAACGCAGATGAAATGCAAACTGCAAGTATCTTAGTTATATGGATATGACTTACTTCCACTTTTATCTAAAACCAGAACATCTCAATGGGATTGTCCTACTCAAATTGGGGTATGCACTAGCGAAAGATTCAGTATAAGGACTAAGCAACTAGCTATATCTCCCTACACCAGAATTGCCCACCCCTGCTCCCAAAATATTTAGGTCTAATGCAGATGCAAAATCATTTGAGCCCTGAGGGATGCACTGAGTATCTTCTGGGGTGCATGGGTTGTCCATCCTGAATGCATGTAGGTCTAATTTTACATCATCACATGGTACTTTAAAGAATATTTTATATTCATATGCATGTCCTCTTTCAACTTTAAAGAAGTTTCCTTCCCTTGAGTCAGAATGTCAATGGCATATTATGTGAATTATGCTTCACAATACAAGCTGGCAAGGATCCTCAAGTTCTAGGGAAGATTCGTGGATGTAGATATACAATATCCCAAGAAGTACTCTTTTGGACATTAGTATTATACTATGATGGGGTTTTGTGAATATTTAGTATTCCTTTGAAAAGTGCATGACAGTAGAGTATCTCTGTCAATGTTTGACTAAAGAGCTGCTTAGACCTAGAAGGCTAACTGTGTTACACCTGTTGCAGCAAACAACATCTTATGGAACCTTAAAACTCAGCACATTTATTACAGCATAAGCTTTCACAAATATTATCCATTGAAGCTTATGCCATAATAAACATGTTAGCTTTTAAAGTGTTGTTATTGTACCTACTATTAAATACATTGTATACTAAATATATGAAAACTGGACTATATAATGGTTGAACATCCCTGTCTTAATTGAAATCTTGGCCCCTATTATGGCACCAGCTGTTGGTAGCCATAGGCCAAGTTTATACCTGTCAAGTAGGAAGCAGACTGAGATCAATTCTTCACATATGCTTGTGGACAAGTATCAGATGGTAATGCAGCAAATCATTTTGTGGGGGTGACTGATTAGGGCTGTGATCCACAAGCCAATTAAATCAGAGAACTTTGATTTAAGTCCTGGTATTCCCTATTTTCAGTATGATTAAATACATGCAACTATTAGCACCTTGTGTAACAGCTTTAAGGAACATCAGCTGATATACGCTCTCTCATACTGAATGTGTAGTTAGAAGAATAATATTGTGCTTCCTTTTTCTGCCAATTAAGCTGATTTTCACTGAAACTGACGCCATTATAAATTCCATTTGAATATTTAATTGTTTCTAGCAGAGAAAACAAGAATGGCTTGCCAACTGTTTACTGAAAGCAAAGCAGATGTTGGGGTTCTACTCATATAAAAGTATTGCCATTATCTCAAGCAGTGCTCAGTCCATGGTTATCTAAATAGTCAAATTTCATATATATCATAGTTCTCTGCCAGTCACAGTGGCTCACTCAAAAGCACTTCAGTGATGAGAAGGCATGGTCTATGATTTGATCCAAACCAGATGAGATCTATTTTACTATTTCTAGCCTGATCTTGGGCAATCATTTTGTTTGTAAAATACTGTGTGCTCAGTCTGAATTTGAAAGATCATCCCTCCACCCTATCTTGAGCTTTTGCATTCCCTCCTTCTACCGTTTGCCTTTCTGCCTAAGGCACTAAAAATGGTTTCCCACTTGTTCTGCAAATCAGGACTTGTAACTAGGATCAAATCATGGAAGGCAAATGCAAACCTATTAGCCTTATGTCACATGTATTATGCTAAACTTAGAACTGGAGAGGAAATGAAGATAAAGAGAATAATTTTTATCACAATGGGGTTGCAAGTTGTTATTTGTAGACTGGTCTTTGCAAATGGTCCAGAATCTTCAGCTGAAGTAGGGCAGCAAGGGGTCTAACATATATTGTCATATTAAACCAGCGCTTTATGTTCTGTCCTGTCTTCCACCTGTTTTTGGATAGGATTCAGAGTGATGATATTAACATTCAAATGCCTAAATAGCTTGGACTCAGGCTATTTTAACTGACTCCTCCCATATATATCCCTCCCATCTCTTCTTATATATATGAACTTGGACTCTAAGCACCTTCAGAGATGCATGTTGATGTGGGTGGCTACTGAGCAGAGGATCTTTTCAGTGGTGAGATCTTCGAATATCCACATCACGGATATCAGATAAAAATCCACAGGGTTTACCTAACATGACAACACTTTCCCACAGCTGAATGTGCAATGCTGCTGAACCATGGGTTGTCACTGAAGCATTGCTTATTAGCACATCTGGGTTCACAGAAACCAACAACCTACAGTTCAACAATCCACACTCACCTTTGAGTATTGGTTATCATGTTGTGTGAGCCCATCCACTGACTATGGCAGTTCATCAACTCCTTTGCTACTGGTGAAGATACCTATTAAAAATGGTGCCTCAGCAACAACTACCAATCATATCTGTGAACACACTCACTTGGAAGTGCAGCCACTATCACCTGAAAGTTAAGTGACAAGGGAGGGCAGCTTGTGTGGGTATATACATCTCTGCTGTTTTTGCAAACTTGAAGAAGCCTTTTCATACCAGATGAACTGAATGATAAAGTTAAGAGTGGTGGCATTATAGCTCAAAGCATTAAATATAGTCTTTGGCTCTAAAAGGGAAGTATAACATTTTTTAAATTAAAAGTTGAAGCTAAATTGTTAAAGAGAGGAAGAAATTTACAGACCTCAAACAAGCTGCAAATATATTGCTACTGCTTATCTTTACATTAGATGGTAGTCTCAAAGCCCTTCAACTGGGAAGGTTTGAATGTCATGACAACTCAGTCTGTGAATAAATTATGCACAATAGGTGGTTTGTTCATGAAACAACCCAGAGTGTCACCCACAACCAACCCCCCCCCCAAAAAAAAAGGTTGGACTCAACATGGTTGTCCTCCATCCTTCCAGCTCAGTCCTTGTGGAGGTATCCCAAGGCACTCTACTCTTTTGCAGGACTGACTTATCTGCCATTTCCTGCTATTGTTTCCGCTCTAACAAGGCGGCATGCTCACACATTTCAGAAAAAACAAAACAAAACCCTGAACAGTCCCATTAAAGAGCTACTCTTACAAGGAACAGGAGTTTTAACAGCAATGGGTAGTTCACACCTTTCCACTCTCCCAAGTACCTGGAATCTCAGGAAAGGATGGAAAAGTGCGAGGAAGCTTAAAAAAAAAAAAAAAAAGATCCACCCACCTGCTCCCAACTTAGAGGATCTCTTTATGAATGGGGTGATGTTTGGCCATCCTCTTTTCTAAGTTTGGATTTCTCTTGACAACTTTCATTTGACAACTGTCATGAGAAAGCAATGTGAAACACAAAGCTCTTAGCAACTTCTCCTGACTAATGCCCACGATGGCTTCACTTTAACAACAAACTACCATCCAGGATATTAGCTAAGCAAGGCTTTCTATCTCAAACCAACACAAGTCTAACTAAAAAAATGTTCACAAACTTTTGCACAAATTTCTTATAATTTTAAATAGGCTGACAAACCAGTGATAGCCTCTTCACCATTCTGTTCGAGTACCTTGAAGAGATTGCCACCAAGCATCAAATTGGAAATTGCAAAAAGCAATCTTAAAAAAAAGTAAAAGGCAAGCA